CCAGACCAGGGCTCGAACCTGTGTCCCCTGCATTAGCAGGCAGATTCTCAACCACTGCGCCACCAGGGAAGCCCCCGGGAAGCCCCCGGGAAGCCCCCGGGAAGCCCCCGAATTGGAATCTTAAACCAGTCAATTAGGAATTGTCTGATAAGAACTAGTTAGGTCATCTGCCTGATAGATTCCTACAATCCCTTAAAGGAAAGTAACTTTGCAATAACCAATCTACTTTTTTTTTGCCTACAACAACTTCCTTGTTCCTGCTCCTTTCTGCATATAAAAGTCTCATATTTTGTAAAGCTCCTTGGAACTCCTCTCTATCTGCTAGATTGGATACTGCCTGATTTGAATCAATTTTTGCTCACACTCTTAAAATTTTTCATATTCCTCAGTTTATCTTTAAAGAGTGACAGTCACCAAATGCAAAGTGTAAACTTTGATTAGATCCCGGATTGAGGAGGCCAGGGGTTCTAAAGGACATTTTGGAAAGATTTGGATGTAAAATATATCTTAGAATATATATTAAATTATTTTGACTTTCTTAAATTTATTTATATATGCAACTTACTATTCAATGCACTCAGAAAAAAAGGTAATAGAAAGCAAGAGAGAGAGGGTAAAGGATATGTGGGAAAATTGTAATAATTGTTAGATCTAGGTGAGGAAAATACTGGTGTTGAACGAACTGTTCCGGAACCTTTTTGTAAATGTGAAACTTTCCCCCATAACTGCATTTTAAAAGTTGCAGCTGCACAATATAGTCACAAGGTGGCGATAGACTCACTTTTGAATTTGTATAAGGACACTCCTGTGAAAGGAGCGTCCAGAAAAAAATATTTCTTAACATAACATCCTCAAATGCCGGCTCTAGGAGGAAAAATGTAAAAATCCAAGAAGTCATAAATCACTGAGAAAATTCACACCACAGCTGAGTAATTAAGATTCAAATAAAAACGCTGGAAATTGGAAGAAACACTGAAGTAGGAAGAAGCAAGGACTGATCCTTGCTTCAGGGAAAAACCTAGCTCTAGCCCTGGCTTCATCAAGGTCTAATTTTTTGACCTTACTCAAGTTGGCTATGAGTAGCTCTCACATGTAAAATGAGGAAAATATCTGAAGAAAAACTTGGAGAGCAATTTCAGTCAGAATTGGAATTCCATTTAGAGATTATGCCTATGAGAGGTCTTCGCTTAGAAATTTTTAGCCAGGTAAAAGTTACATAATTCCTAAAGTAGACGACTGAAAATTTCCCATGAAGCACAAAGGATAAATCCAAAGCACGTTCTGATTATGCAGCATTCAAAGTTTATTTTGAAAGGACCCTAATAGATTGTCTTGATAGAGAATGCAATTTGACTCATATACCTGGGTGATCATATTTGGGTTCTAGCCCTATTAGTGGATCACCTTTTAAATGTTGACAAATCATTCTATGCTGCTATATTATCATTTGAAAATGGTCTTTTTAGAAAAACTGCTCCTGTAACTCAGCCACCTTGCTGAGGTTCCAGGCAATCAGCAACCACATACATGAGTGACAAAGGCTTTGAGCTAACCCGAGTCCCAGTCAGCATCTCATTTCAACTGCACTAGAGACCCCCAGCAAGAACCACCTAGGTAAGTTCATTCAGTAAACAAATTTTTTTTATAATTATTTGTTTATTTTTCAGGAAATATTTATTGAGCATCTGCTATGTGCCAGAACCATGCATTGGCTAACAATACTAAGAAGGTTTTGATCTCATGGAGCTCATATCCCCATGGAAAGGGCCTAATAATAATGATAGCAATAGTGGTAATCAAATAATAACAATAATAAAATGATAAGTAGATAAATAATCATCTAATTTCATATATTATGAAGGAAATAAATAAGGTGTTGCAAAGGGACAAAATGGATAAATCTGATTGATATACAACTTTCTTTTTTCTTTTGTTCTGTTTTGCTTGGTCGGAAGGGAACAAGTGTAGCCACAAAAACAAACAAACACACACACGCACACACGCACACACGTACACACACACACAAAAAACCCAAGTAAGTCCACAAGAGGGCAGAATGGAGTTAATCGCAAACAATTGCAGATGTACACTTTCAACTGCTGCCAAGGGGTAAACTAAAGGCTATGACCACCAGATCAGGTTACTTCATGAGTTTATAGGTGTTTAGAACTTAAAAATTTTTATAATTATATTTTTACTTGCACTTCTTGGATTTTCCTTTCCCACTGCTTGGTATGAAAGTCAAAAATTATTCTTTTTTACCCATACTAGCATTATAAAGGAAAGGAATCTGATTGCTGGCTACCTAAACATCTGTGGATCAGAAAAAAATGGTTAAACAAACCCCTAGGCTTATGCATCAAGAATGCTTTATTTTTAAATTTTTCCCACCGTAAGTGTTTTTCCATGATACTTGCTTTTTTTAAAACTTGAAGTGCAGTTGATTTAGAATGTTGTGTTAGTTTTGAGTGTACAGCAAAGTGTTCAGTTATACATATATATATATTAGTTTTCAGATTCTTTTCTATTATAAATTATTACGAGATATTGAGTATAGTTCCCTGTGCTATACAGTAGGTCCTCGTCTTTTATTTATTCTATATACAGTAGTGTGTATATGTTAACCATGATACCTGCTTTTTAGACCACACTGTATAGTGAAGAGCTCTGTGGAATGGGTGGAGCAGGAAGGTAAAACAGAAGGAAATGAACTTCAAATTCAAACACATGGCATAGGAAATAAACAGAAGGAATCTCACTGGTCCAGTCTCAACATCCATTTAATAAATCATACATAGACCATTATTATGCCCTTACTCTTTTAAATTGAGTCAGAGACTTCTCTTCCCTTCATTTTTCTGTATTGGTACTTGTCCAACTCCAGCCAGGAGAGAAGTGGAGCCAGCTTTAAGATCATAAAAAAGACTAATTATAATACAGCCAAGAGAACTAAATCCTATTTTAGAAAAGTGGGAAGAAATAGATTAAAAAATTGTGAGAGCCAGAGAGATTTGAGGAAAAGTTCAGAAAGAAATTAACATTTGATTCCAGATTTCCACAATTACTAGGCTTTTTCTAGGCAAAGATTAAAGGGATTGTGTGATGAAAAGAGCATCTCACATGTATGGGACAACCGTGAAATCATAAAACATCAGGATGTGTTTAGAGAGTGGTCAGGAGCCTGCATCTGGAGCATGGGCTGCGTAGAGGAAATGTAGATTGCAGATCTTGAATAATGTAGTAAGTTGACATGGCTTGGCATTGCAGTGAGTTTATCGTCAATAAACGTTGACTCAAATACAGCAACCAAAAATTTTCCTTAGACCTAATATTTTTTAATCTGCCTAGACTATGGTTAGACACGCCTTCCTCATGGAACTGTATCTTTATAGTTTGAGTTTCAGAGATGATCTCAGCAGCATCATATCCAAGAGTAAATTTACTTGATTATCTAATACTGCAATAGCAAATGACAGTGTAAGAACCTAACTTCTTGGGCTTAGTTTCATTGTAAAAGGTTCTTGCAGATGTGTGTTTTAGGGGTGCTTGATTTCAGATCTAACAAGTATAGGAGAAGGAAAGCGCCATATTTGGAATGAATTCTGGGCTAACTGGATGGACTTAGCTTTGTCCCGAAGGTTGCTTTGAACATCATTCCAAAGAGGTAGGAATGTACATGGTCAGTTGTGGGAATATTTTTTCTAAGATTTCTGTTCTTTACAAGTCTTTTTCCCCAAAGTATCAAACACTTCAAAAATCTCACTTTTATCATGTATTACTTTGTAATGATACTCTTGTCTAGAATGCTTTCCTAAATAATTTATTTCCTAAGTAATTGGCACAAAATGAATTATACTTTGAATTTTTGATGTGTTCAAAATTTTATATTAATGAGTATTGTAAATCAACATGCATGGAAAACAGGAATTAAAATTTTATTTTGGTCATTATAGTATTACTTGAATTTATATAATTATATAATTACTATACAATTATTATATAAATATATAATTTATATAATTCAAGTTGTATTGAACTATCAGAGTAAGTAGATGTCTATTTTTCAGGAATTTTATTATGAGTCTCCTTGTAGGATAAATTCAATATTATCATTTATTTGATTTCCAAAGAAAATTTGGCATGTGTTTTTAAAAAGTGAACACTCAAGAGATCTATCAGAATAAACACATCTCTTCTGTAACTTCAGCTTCCCCAACTGCAGAGTTGAAAAAAATATCACATTTTCCATTAGAATAATGAAAAATTTGATTACATATTTTCTACAGTGTGAGCCATAGAAAGAAGGAAACATAGAAGGAAAATAAAAAAGCAATGAGGAAATTAAAATGGAAAGAGTTAAGGTCCCTTCCCAAACTCCTTTAGTAATGGGTCTCTGATATGAGTCAAGAGAATGGATTTTAATCAGTATTCTGCCACAACCCAATTGTGTGATGGTATAGAAAAAAAAAAAAGCATAGGCTGTGGGAGAAGCAGAGGACTTCAGAAATCATTTACTAAAATTTTTCTGGAGGTGAGCGAAAGCATAGAGGGGTTGGATGAAGTCTACAGGATTAGAAACCATTTCCCTTAGCTGGTCTGGGCTTTGTTCCATAGAGAATCACTGTCTCTTAAAATGAGGCGTTTTCTTTATGTATCTGTTTTCTCATTTATTGAATGAGGAGATTAAACTTGAATGTCTGTAAGACTCACAACAGTTAGAATTCTCAGTCTCTGTTCCACTTTGTACCACAAAATGCACATTAGGCCATGCTAAGAGTATATACAGTTAAAATGAGAGAGACCTGAAATGGAAATGAAAGAATGGGAGAGAAGGGACCTCCCTGGTGGTGCAGTGGGTAAGAGTCCATGCTCCCAATGCAGGGGGCCCAGGTTTGATCCCCCATCAGGGAACTAGATCCCACATGTGCGCCTCAACTAAGAGTTCCACCTAATAAGTAAATAAATAAAGATTATAAAAGAAATGGAGAGGGGATGTATAGTCAAGTGGCAGAACATACTTTATTTTTGACAGGTTTTAGTTCTTTTTGACAGATCCATTTATTTTCTGTAGCACAGTTCTCGGAAAGAATTTGTGTCCTTGAGATGCAAACACAACTGTTTTCTTCAGCATCACCAGTAATTTGTAACCTGTGGAGCAGAAGAAAAGCCTCTCTTTAGTGTTTGTGATTTTCTCATATAATTCTCCTCATCCAGCCAGTATGTTCTGTAATTTTCAGTAAACAACGAGGTGCTGGTTATTAAGCATGGAATAAGTACCCAGTCACAAATATAATGATATAAACTTTTAATAGAAAGCTAATAGAAACCTCTGGGACTTGCAAGCTCATCTTCACTGGAAAAGAATTGTTCTAAAAAGAAATGTCGTAATGATACATACAAAGAAGAAGCTTTGGAAACTGGGAATTGAATCTCCTATTAACATGTTATATGAAAATTTCCTACCTTCACTGAGCCTCCATATTCTTAAATATATAGGGTATATATATTTGGGGAGACATTGAGATCATGTATATGAAAGGGTGATCATGCTTAAACAAAGAATGTGTTCAGTAAATGTAATAAGTACGTAGATACTCAGTGTCTACAGAATTTGAATATATCAATTGCCAGAAAAGGAGGCTCAGTACGTATTGTATGCAGTAGGAGGTTCCCTTTTTTTCCATTCCAAACAGGTTGGTGAGTGTCTGCTACAATATGCGTACTGTTAGCTCCAAAGAAGCAGAGTCTTATGGCTCATTGCAGGTGGGGCATGAGTAGAAGTTAGACAGTGGGATGGCAAGATAGAGCCTGGGTGCCAGGATGGGGTGAGTGCAAGACATTCACCGATTTGTCTCAAATAGAAAGTGAAGTGGTGGCAGTGGGCAGGGCTCCATCACAGTTTTTCCTTGTTCCTTTGTTCCATTTCTTCTTGGAGGCCCTCGGCCCTGAGAAGTCAACCTGATTCTCTCCTAGTGCCTGACACCCTAGTCAAATCAGAATTTCTCCTGACCAAGCTATTGCAAAGGTCCCCTGTATTTTATCTCTTCCACCCTTCTGGTCCTTTCTTTGAATTTCAAGATAACTTTTTTACTGCTCATCTGGCCAAGTCCCCTTCCAAAAGGCCCTAGGTGACTTCCCAGGCCTTCTTTGATCACATCTCTGCCTAGTTGTCTAACATTATCTCATTTAATCCCCAAAACAGTCCTGTGAAAAATATTAACACCCTTTATGTTTTTCTTTACCTGAAAACCAAGGTAGAGAACTAAAATAAAAGCAGAGTCTAACTGATGTTCTTTCTACTATAATATGATACCTTCCAGGTTTACCTGATCACTATCTTAATCAAATCATCATTTTTATCCTCAGAATAAAGAAGAGTGTTCAATCGAATTTAATCCATCATCTTTGCCTATATTTCTGCTCATAGACACTTCAGAGTTTTCCAGTTTTATTATAAACCTTAATAAAATAAACATAATGGCCCAATAAGAAGTATACACACACACAAACCAAAATTAACCTTTATTATGTACAAAAAAATAAAAATAAGTTAATATCAGAGTTGCACTTATGTGTAAATAAAATATAGAAAATAATCCCTAGAAAAACAAAAAAATCAGAGTGTAGTTTATTTACCAAATATGTTTGCCTTTTCATATATTTATTCTAGTCCAGAACACTTTATTTTAAAATAATCTTCATTTTAAAGTATGGCATCTAAAAAAATATTTTAGAACATGGGTCAAACAATGACAAAATGTGCTAATTAAATCAACATTTCTTTTAATGTCTAATACTTTTCCACACAATAAATTATTACTATATTTTAGATAAACTTGAACATGCTCCTGTGTCTTGAATTTTAACCTCTTGTTTTTTGAATGATAAAAAAATCCATTTTACCTGTTATTTATACAAATGTGAATAAAGCATTCACAGACTCAAAAAATGTAACACAATATCATCTGTTCTGAAAAACTCATCAAAAGTTCTTTTCAGAAACTTGGTTGAATGTCTGCACACTTTCACTTTCTAGGGGAAAAAAATGTTCTGCCCTTTGTTGTACAAACAACGATGAAGTCCATTAAAAATTTATAATTTAACTGTGTAACATCAATCCTCCTACAACACCGATGGTTAACTTGACCATCTTACACAAGAAACTATGAGACAACCAAAAACACGGCAAATAGCTCTTTTCTGGCTTATGCAGATTGACTACATCTCTTCAAACAACCCTCCTTTTGCACCTCTAGTTAAAATAAGCTACAATACTTGTTACAATGTGGGTAGTTTCTCTCAAATGTCTGGATACCCCACGCTGATATTTACTATATTTTTTCCTCTTGTATTCATTGTGCCAATGCTGGTTGTGACCCACTAAGGTATGTGGTCCCACAGTTTGAAAAACACTACTTAAACAATTCTTCGTGCCAATAGCTTCCAGCTAGAAATTTCTTAATCAATCTTCAATAACAATGTTACTATCTTCCCATGTAAACCTGATGTAAATTGAATATTCAAATTAGCTTATCCCAATACTCACATATTAGAATTTAAAAAGGATCCATTTATCCACTTCCAGTTCTTTTCTGATAATGTAAAATTTAATCCAATCCAAAATAGAATTCCTCCTTTGTCTATCCGGTTTTGTACGAGCCTCTATAAATGAAACAGAAGAAATGACTGAATATTGAATCTGTTTATCTATTACTGGTTTGCATCCTTCTACCCATCCTCTGAAACCCAGTTCAAGTATCACCTCCTCTCTGAAGCCTTTCCTAACTCCCCATTGGAGTTAATTTTTCCTTATTTGTGATATTTCTGTCTGTATATTTATATATATCCAAATATTTGTATTTATGTTGTTGTATTCATTAAATTATATTTATTTTGCTTACATGTCCATTTAGTGTCTCAGATTGTGAGCTTCTTGAAGTCAAAATTAATACTTCCATCTGCACAGAACCCTCCGGGCTAAAGCACGAAGATCTTGATGTGGTTAGAAGCAAGGGCTAAGCTGTATTAAAGTATTTTACTTAATTATTTACCAATTCTTCCTGATCTTGAATAAGCAGCAGACGGGATTCTTTTGTGAAACAGTCGGCTAGACTGTCATTCCAAGGTTTGTAAGTGTCATAAAAAAGCAAGCATTTATCTCGGATTAGTTGCCAATTTGTTGGGCACTTTAACAGAACTGGTCTCTCTAAAGTAAGAAAGAGGAAGGAGAATAAATGTTATGTTTCTAACCTGCCCCCCACCCCACTAACACTAATCACACATGCACAAGTCATTATAAATTCAGGGAATTCGTTGATCATCACAGTGAGAACAATTCATGAATTTAATATAACTTTGAGGGTTTTGAGACCTACTGTTCATTCTGGTACTAAGAGTTGAAAATTAGTGACAAGTTAAAACACTGACAGACAGAATAACTTGTTCAAGTCCACACAAAGCAGATGCTGGTAGAGTCAAAACTCTTTCTGAGATTCCGTAAATTCATTACAAGTGTTCTTTCTACTCTGTGATGACAATATCAAACTTATCTTAAAAATGTCTACTTTAAACAACATGTAAACTGAAAAGCAAATAACAATTCATTTCCATAAGTTAATGGCAAATACCATGGAGAAAAATTGTAAGAACATTTCTAATTTGCTGAATTGTATATTTGCCTATTAATGGGATCTATTGGATAGCATTTTCCAGAAGGATTTTCATAGTTTCTTAAAATTTCTGTTATGTACGAATGTATATAATAAATGATCACATTCTGCTACAGTCACTCAACAATAGTGTCTTTATTAACACACACTACTTAATAAGTACATGGACAAGACCAATGTCTTAATGTTTAATACAATAAATATTAAATTATTCTTTTTATGTCGTGTTCCATTAATTAACTTCGGACCAGAGTTAGCTGCTTGACATATTCATTAAAATCATCAAATATCCCACTTAAATGCATATTTTACTTTATAGCTTGGGTTTTGGCTATTAATTATAGAATATCCTAGCAGCAGTCTCTCACAAGGCAGTGTTATCTGTTGGTTAAGATCGTAGGCTCTGAAGTTAGACCACCGAAGTACAATTCCCAGTGTCACCACTTAGTACCTGTATGACCCTGGATGAGTTGCTTAGCCTTTCCATGCCTCAGTTTTGTCAAACATAAAATCAGAGCGATAATACTATCTTAATGTATGGGTTGTTATGAGCCTTAATTAAGATAATGCATGATACCTATCAAATTTTAGCCATTATTCTTAGGAAAGTCAAGCCACAAAATATACCTGTTGTTTCCTTCCTGTTCTCTTGAGCATCCATGCTGCTTTTTTCTGTTGATTTTTGTCTCAAGAATATCACTAATAAATCAGGAGAAATCATTAAGAAGATTAATGCTGAATGGTGCAGTGAAATGGATATGTTATATTGATCACTTCAGGAAAGTTTTATCTCAACAAGCTTGAAATGAACAGAAGATAAGAGCAATAGCAGTGTAGTAACAAAGGGTCTACTTAGAAGACAACATAAACAAACACACACATAGCAAGCGAATGCACACAGACATTGAGTTACCGGTTTCAACTATATAAGTAAGCTCCCAGGTGTTACTTAAACTCTTAAATTGCTAACACTCCTTGCCTAATGTTCCATCTTCAGAATAAGTATAATTGTGCCTGCCCCATGGGAGAGATTGCCTAGGACAATCTAGAATTTAGTAGGCACTTAAGGAACTGTAAATAATTGGAAATTTTTATTTTCTTTGTTATTGTCATGGTTTTATCATAATTGTGACTTTTTAAATGTCCTTGGAGCACATGTGAAATCCCCCGTGAAGTCTATCAGAACAGTTAGGAAGAGAAATACGACAAAGGATGAAGTTTGCTTAGTAAGTACCGGCTGAGCACTGTTAGAGCACTGTTTTGTAACTGTTTTTGTTTCATGGGTCTTCCACTAAATTTGGGGTGGCCAAATGTTAACATACTTTAATATTTATGGTAAAGTAGAACAAGAAATAAATGATCTTGCATCACTTACCTGAAACACTCAACCCAATCACAGTCAAGGCAAGAAGAATAATCCCAGCACAACCAAGTTTCAGAGCAAATTTATGCCAAGGTGGACCCTGACAAACATCTGAGACATTAAGAAAATATACTTGATTAACTCAGTTGAGTTCATCTAATACAAAAAGCAGAGGTTGTTTGGATCACATAAGAAAGAGCTAGATTCAGGTTGGGGGTAGGGGCAGGAAAGGACATTTATCAGTCATCTTAAAGTAGGGTCCCACAAGATGGAATCTCAGATCCAACTGAGAGTTTGCTTATAGATAAAATAGAAATATTTATGCCTGTCTTGTGTACGAAGGATTGGTATAAGAATCAGACGAGATAGATGTGACGGTGTTTTGAAACATGCCAAATGCTATACAAAAATGAAACATATACCCTACTGTACGAAGTAAGCCCAAGAATTTTGTCCAACAAGGAAGGCCTTCATTCATTCAAGATATATTTGTTGAGGCTCTGTTTTATGCCAAACAACATGTTAGGTGCTGGTGGTATAAGACAATTCTATTCTTAGACGTGGATTTCTCTGCTTTACTGTTGTCTGGAACAATCATCTCCAATTTGGACCAAATGGATGGAATTCAAGGAAGAGTATTTTACGAGCTTGCATGTTATTTTCAGTATTTCAATGAATATAACATAACATGAACCTGTGTCTACCACATTGCATAGTCTAAAAAATGTAAAATACCTTTGCTTTTCTCTGTATCATGTCAATAACAATGTACTGTATATCTCATGTTCATCAAAAGTTGTGATTGTATTAATTAAAGTGGGATCATAAATTAATCATAACCTTATCATTGGATTTCATAGGGAAAAATAATCAAAGAGGAACTTATTAATGTAAAAAATTCTTGGAAAACACTGAGCAACAGCTTCCCAAATTATATCAGCTCTGACAGGAATTATTTTGGTAATTTGTACTTCGGTTATTCTACTTGAAATTGTGCTTAGACAACTTCTATACCTGACTTAATTATAAGACCCCTTTTATTCCCATTTGGTTTATAATATGTTATATATATTACAATTATAAATTATTTTCTAAATTGTATTATTAGAGCCAAGGGCCTTTAAAAGTAAAGGTTTACTAATTTAACTATATCTATCATTTATTTATGTTATCTATTCTTTTTTATATTTTTTCTAATATTCCTCAATATAAAGGAATACATGCTTTGAGTCACTTGTTAAAAACTTTAGTATCAGATATGTTAAAATGTTGTCTTTATTCTCATTAAATGTTCCAGAGTGACCCACAAATCCATTTCTACTTTAGTTTCTTACACTCTCCCTGGCGATTAAGTTGTGCAACCCAGTTTTCAGACAACTACTCATGGTCTCTTCATTAGGATGTGGACATTCATAAAAGAGTTAGCTCTTTCTAAAATGTCCCTGGGGAGATGGAATTTAAGATAACTAAATGTGATAAAAGATTATGGGAGGAAACAGATAGTAGATTAGATTTCAGGTAGTGACACCTGGATTATCATCTGGAGGGGAGAGACAAGAGTAGACAATTAGAGGAGCTCCAAGGTCCTGGGTGTACATCCGAAAATGGGAGAACCAGACTGGAGAATATTGACCTAGAACCTCTAATGCGAGCTCGTGTGACACAGAGCAACTAAACTTAGTGAACCTAAGACTAGTCCTACGTGACGTTTCCTCACAGTTGTATATACTATTCGACCATTTTTTCTTCCTCAGCCTTTCCTCCCTTGCAATTTTGAAAAATGGAGAAAGCCCCATATAGTCACTATTTTAACATTTAGTCCCGAAGGATAGCAGTGGGTAAGAGCAGAGGCTCTCAAATCTAGCAGATTTGTATTAGAGCATATTTCTTCGGGCAACGTAACCTTCATCAACTACAAATTTCCTCACCTGTGAAATGTAGAATAATAATACTTCATGAGGTTTTGGGAAGGGTTATATGAAATAGTTCTTCTAGACATGGTGTGTGATACATGATAACAGTGCATCTAAAATTTAAAGAACTGAGTGGAGGGTTCCGTGTTGTTTTTCTGCTGCACTACATTAGAACTAATAACAACAATAGAGTTATTTTAACAATAGACAGTATGCCAAATCATCTCACTTTGTTTCTCTAAACCTTTCCATGGCTTTCTCTCAAGCAGACCTAAGTCTGTACATCTGTAGAACAGCCTGCAAATCCCTATTCATTCC